CAGCAGAACTTGACTCAGCTGTGAAACACTCCAAGGAAACGGCGCCTTCAGCCCTCAGCCAGAGGTAACTCTCCATTCGTAACGTTCTAGTGCCACCACTGGGCCCATCCGTGCCCTGCACACACACTCAAGAACACAATTACAGACTGGAGCGGAGAGTCTCTTTAAGAGTCGGTTTTCTTCGGGGTCAACTGCTCAGATATCAAAGAAATACAGACCTAAGTAGTGAGGTATCATATTCACCGATCAAATGAGCAAAATGTCTGTTTTTCTTCAAAGGAGCTGGCCGTCTTGCAGATGCTACAGTGAAGGCAACAAGAAACTGGTGCTGGTGGGAATGGACAGCACTGTCCAAGTCTCTTTGGACTCATGATGACCTTATGGACACGGGAGCGGTTTTCAGGCGCTGGCAGGTCCGAGTCGGCGGTATGTCCCCCAAGTCAGCCCATCTCGGGGGGCTGCCCGCTTTCACAGTCGCTCCCTTCCCAAGCATGACGTACTCCCCTACAACTGGTCTTTTCTGATGAGATGGACGGAGTGAGTGAGTGCATTTCTCACTGCCTTCTTTCTCTCCTCTCGGATTTCTCTGATCTATCTGTTCATCATGCATCAGGGAGCTGGACTAAGGAGGACAGAAGAAGAATCGACACCTTCGAGTTGCGGTGCTGGAGAATCATCAACATACCATGGACCGCCAAGAAAACAAATAGGTCTGTCTTGGAGAGGGTGAAGCCAAGTATCTCCTTGCAGGCTGGGATTCTGAAGCTTTGTCTCACATATTTTAGGCACGTGGTCAGGAGAGACCAGTCCTTGGAGGACATCATGCTTGGGAGGGTGGAGGGACAGCGCAGGAGGCCCCAGATGAGATGGATAGATACAGTAACTGGAGCAATGAGATGGGTGGGTCAGAACTGGTGAGACTGGCTCAGGACAGGGCAGGCTTCAGAGCTGCTGTACACAGGGGTTGCTATGAGTCACAGGTGACCCGATGGCACATAACAATAACAACAACAACAACAACAACATCTGTTCATGTGCTGGAGCCATTCTGGTTTATTTAATGAGACTTTGCAAAATGGTTTTGAAAACCCAACTGTGCTGGTTCTTCTTGCTATTTTTTCTTTTTAAATTCCATTTCCTGTATAAACTTCACGCTAAGTTTGTCTCAGGCTAAGACAGGCCAAATCTCACTAAACTGTTGTTGCGTACCATCAAGTCAGAACCGACTCACAGCAGACCCTTCCACTGGGTTTTCAGAGGCAGTAAATGACACAGGAAGAGATTCAGATTTTGCCCATCTTTTTCCTGCAAAGCAGCTGGTAGATTAGATTCACCTTTATATTTTGTAAAAAAAAATCATTATTACTGAGAAATGTTTAGTTACTTGAAAAGGACAAAATGATGTGAGGGAAGCTTGCACCTGCCTGTATTACCAGCGTCATGACATCAGCAGGTGCTTTTAGGCACTGAGCGAACGCCACACTAAATGCCAAACTGTTTGCAAACTCTGTTGTTGCTGTTAGGTGCTGTCGAGTTGAGTCGGGTGCGACTCACGGTGACCCCATGAACAGAAGACCGGAACCCGGTCCCATCCTGCGCCGTCTCACACCTCAGAAGCGTGAGGACGTGTGACTGATTTAAGGAGCTGGTTTTCCCGGCCTCTTTCACAGATGAAGAGCTAAGGCTTGTCGCTGCTGCTTTCGTTAGCTGCTGCCAGGTGGGCCTCACATAAAAGAGAATAAAGCGTGGTCCAGTCCTCCGTCCACTCCCAGGAAAGGCTGTAAACGGGACTGTGGTGACCCAGGCAGTGTTCATGGGCTGGTTTCAGGAAGCTGGTTGCCAGGCCCTTCTTCCTCATCTTAGTCTGGCAGGTCCCTGGAAAAGTTCCTTATCACAACCGCACGCACAGTCTAAAAGCCCATAACCAAAGCCGTCAGGTCAGTTCTGACTCACAGCAACCAAGCATGGGGTTTCCGAGGCCGTAACAGGAAACTTCCCATCTTTGGGGGGGATTTGAACTGCTGACCTTTTGGGTGGCAGCGCAACACATCAGGCACTACACCACCAGAGCGCACAAGTATAGAGAGGCTAAATAAGTTACTTGTGCAAGATCGCAGCTCGCAAAGGAGCAAGGTGGACTTCCAATGCAGACCTGGGTTACCCTCAACACCCAGGCTGTACATCGTAAGGTTACACTGAGTCTTCTGAAACAGAAAGAATATTTTTCTTAACTGGCAAAACAAAAGAAAGCAGCCTCCTTGCAGTCCATCTCCTTCGGCTGTTCACAAGCACGGCCGGGCGGTGTGTCAGGTGAAGTCTGTGCTCGACAGGGGCGGCTGGCTTTTGGCCCCTCGCTTGCCTGTCCCAGGCCTCCTCTGAATATCAAGAATCAGAAGCCTGTGGTGGACACGTTCCAGACGTCCAGGGGCGCTTCCTGTCTGGTTCTGCCGTGTTGTGGCACTGGGAAGAGGGTTGTTAAGTGCAATCGAGTTGGCACCAACTGAGAGCTGATGCCCGGCGGGTGTTCAGAGGCTACGCAGAGGACACTTCTCATCCCTTCCCCTTGGAGCAGCCGGTGGCTTCAAACTGCATGCCTTTGGGATGACAGTGCACTGTCTTACCCACGAGGCCACCAGAACCCCCTGGCACAAGGATGAGGGCTGGAAAGGAGTGAGGAGCCAATTCTCCCACTTTTTTGTGGTTGGTGGGTATCTTAGAGTGGTAGCCAGCAGGACCAAAGGACACAGCATCGGTGGGGACATACCCCTCCAGGCGTCCGCAGAGGGCCAGTGGCTGGGACAGCAGTGAACCCAGCGTCTCCACAGCAAGGAGCAGGGGCACTTTCCTGCTCTTCGGCTCCCAGCCCTACCCAGTTTTTGCTCCTCCGGCCTTTCAACTAACACTTTTAAGATCAAGTCCAGGCCCTGACTGGACACTGAGTGACGGCACTCTGCAGCAGTAACTACGTACCCGCTCGTGGGAGCGTGAAAGACTGGTCATCTCATGTCTCTGTATGAGAGACAGAGGAGCAAAGCATTTTTAGCCAATTGTGCAAATAACTGGTAGCCTCTATAAATGAAACAAATTACTGTGGCAAACAGCAAACCAAAAGTAATTTATTCATCCGGGGCATGTGTTAACTATGGGGTAAGACGATAATATGAAGTTTCTCGGTTATTGTCTGTGGGCCAACATTTAACAAACAGCTTTATAACAATATACACCATCTTAAAACAATAAATATGGTCAGTTACTAGCAGACTCCAAACTTCCACGGAAACTTGAAAAAGATTTGCCGATTGACTATAACCCATTCAGGAAGATCTAAATGGGAAGAAACACAGAAGGAGACGTAGTGAGGGTCAGTTATTTAAAAAACAGAACATAAAAAAAAAATAAGAACACACACAGGTAAATGGTAGAACTGACAATTTAACTGTACTGATCAAATTATCTACATATACAATTATTTGGCACTTCAGACCTAGAAGGATGGATTTTTTTAAAATTATTATCTTTTGTGTGTGTGTGTGTACCATCAAATCAGATCTGACTGGTACAGGAGGAGATTGTCCCTGCTTCTTCAGTAAAGCATCTGGTGGATTTGAACTGCACACCTCTAGGATTGCAGTGCAGCTTCTTGCCACTAGGCCACCAGAGCTCGCTGAAAGATGGATTTTAAGGGACACAAGTTTATCTCCTGAATCAGTACTCTCTCTTACTGAAAAAAAGAAAGGAACCACATGCTAATGACTAGAGCAGACTGAAGGCAACAGTGGAAGTTAGCAAACTGTAGGCTCATTTCGGTCAGCAAGAAAAAGCCCAGCTACTGTCTGATTCCATTTACTTGAAAGATCTCCAACAGGCAAATACCTAACGGCCAAAGTTTATGGGTGGTTACTGGGTGGGTGGGAGAGAGGGGGTGAGGGAGGGACATGTTCCCCAGGAGCCCTGAGCTTCCTACAGGAATGGGGCCACTTGAAGACATGAAGGTGGCTGCATAACCATGAGCAATGTCAATACTAACTACACAAGTGAAAAACGTTCAACGAGCAAATAGTTAGGTATCTGTTCACCACACACACAAGGTGCGGCCTGACTTTAACACGCCTGATCTTGACAAGGAGGGAGAGAAGAGGGAGCACTACTCAGATTTACGAAAACTACCAAAACCTGAGGAAAGTAAAAACGTTACCGTCTGTTTACATTCAAGGTAGGAGTCCAAGTCATTTAATGTGCGTAGTTTAGATACGAGAAGTTTGGAGGGATGTGTACCCCAAAATGTGAAGCAGAGAGCTTATCTCTACACACTGAGATGTCCAGAAATTATTTTTTTGTTGTTGTTTTGTAGTTTTGTTTGGTGTTTTTTTTAAAATGAACATATGAGACTTTGGGTTATTTGAAAGCATTAGAAATAAAAGTCAGTCATTCCCAATCCCCCCCTTCAACCTGGCTTCTGAGGCTGTCACTGCTCTGGAGGAGATGCCCCTTTCCCTCCCCCACAGCGGCTGCTGGACGCAGACCACTGACCTTTCCTTAGCAGCCCAGCCTGAGCCGTACCACGTCTCCAGGTTCCCTGGTGGATACGTGACACAGCGAATCCCTGCTGCTGGGTCAGTGTCCACACAGCGGATCCCCCACCAGGCTGGGCGCAGCTGCTGGGAGGGAACTGTCCCCCAAACCAGCCTTTCACTAATGCCTCTCAAAGCGATGTTCTCACTGCTTTCAGAACTAACGGTGGTTCTGTCACAGAGAATCCTGGTGACAAAGTGTAAAACACCTCAGACTTCGTGGTCCAAGGTAGTGTTGGTGACCTGCTCCAGGTCCCAGGACATGCCCAGGGCCATAGAGTGAGGCCTGACTTGAGGCAGAGCTGGGCTTTGGACAATCAATCCGGGATTCTCTTAAAAAACAAAAATGTATCCTGGATGTGTGCACATTGATAGCACCCTCGGCATACCAGAAAAAAAGGCTGAGTTAATCTAAAGCCCCTCCGACTATTAGCGGCGGCAGGTCATGCCCAGATGGCAATCAGACAGCTTTACCTTCAGGATTTCACAGGGAGCAGTGCCCTTGGGTATTGGTTTCCCACAATGCTTTGAGTACTCCATGATAAAGACCGAAGCTTCATCTAAACTGTGAAACCAAACAGAGGGGCAAAGGAGATGCTGGGGTGACAGAGTGTGTGGACAGTCCTTGAGCGAGGGGCTGGCTCCGGGTACCCCAACACACTCAGTGACCTGCCCGTTTAACACGCGCAGCTCACCGTGTGGAAGGCACACACCTCAAGGACAACACGGCTGCAGACCCCACCATAAGTGAACAACGAGATCAAGCGAGCCATGCGGCCTGTCTCCCACGCGACTGAGACGCAAAAAGCCAGCTGGAGGGGCGACGGCAGTGAGGGAGTGCGGGTCAAAGTGATGCTAACGCTCTAACAGCAAAACCAGCTCCTGGCCATTGAGTCTGAACCAACTGAGAGCTGCCCCCCCACGGGGTTTCTGGGGCTGGGAGTCACAGGAGGGGACGGCCCACCGGAAACAGGGCAATGCCCTAAAGCACTTGAAAGGAAGACTCAAAAGAGCCCATGCTCGTGGAAAAAACGGTGCCGACCTGCTCCACAGACCTTCAATTTGATAGTTGTCTTTTTTTTAATTTTTTTTTTAAAAGGCAATTATCTGCAAAACACAGTAAAATGAGGCACACTTGTGCCGGCTCATCAGTGATGACGGGGAATTAATCACAGATGACAACCGAGTCGAGAGCGTGGAGCCCAGCACCAGGGGCTCAGAGGCAGGAGGACAGAGAACACCCTCGGCCTTCACTGGGCGTTCTTGCACGGACAGGCCCACGACCTTCTCTCTTTACCACTTTCTGAACCCATCCTCCCAGCCCCAGGCCCCAAAATGCTAGAAGAACAGAAAGCCAAACTTCCTCTGTGTTCTGTAAAGCCACCCACTGCCTGCTGGGCACAGAAGTTATAATGTGGGTTAATGAGCAGAACTGGGAAATAGCTATTTTGGGGACTCAGTACCAATATGTGAGGAGAACTGAGCTTCAAACCAACTAACTTCTGCTATGGTGCTATAGCTTAGGATTCAGAAACCTTAAGTGCAACCAAATTGTTTGAGATTTCCCTTAAGATAAAGATAAAATTTTAGCTGATTCTAGGCTCTTAAGTTCTTCTTTCTCCTTGTTTAAAGACATTAACTTACCTTAACTCTTTGGCTAAATAGTTCACTAGTTCAGTGACGTTGTTGCTGTTAAGCATGTGCATCTTCAACATGTGAAAGTATTTTGTTTTTGCCAACACTCCAAATTCTTTTTTACTTATGATGTTATTCAGAACCAAACTTCGGATCTAGAAAGTGACGGGCAACATTCGATTAGAAATGGGCAACGTTCCAGGTCTGGTCAACACAGAAACATCTGTGGCCATCACAAGTCGGATCACCCGGGCGTTGGGACTGGACTCGCCTTGTGAGGGCGTGGGTACAGCGGCAGAGAAGACTGTAGCTTTTGTTCAACACTTTCTGTTATTTTAGGACGCTAAAAATCTGTATATCATGATTTGCCTTTAAGGCAAGACGTTTTCCACCGAGCGCAATTCAGAATGTATCTTGGCTTCACAGTGGGTCAGAGCAGGCAGGAGGCGGACAGAGACAAAGAGAGGGGGCATGACTGACCACAAAGATGATGGACCCGATCCGCCCACTCCAGAAAGCAACAGTCCACATAGACAGAGCTGCTCTGTGGGCCACAGCTTCCAACCCAAGGAGGAAAGGGCCTAGCCAGGTCTGCGGCTGTATTTCCCCAACACAACGATCTCCATTTTCACTTTTAGTTCCTTTACCATCCCTCTTAACTGAGTCCTCTACAAAGGCGTGGCTCTCGCCAGGATTACTTTTGAGTGTGCCTTAACTAGGGCACTCTGATTCTTCTTCTGTCTTTCACCAGCACACCACCTTGGCTGGGCGTGGAATGCCGAATCCAGGTACTCTAACTGCGTGTAACACAGAGGGCTGGCCTTCATTTCCTACGTAGTCTAATCAGGATTTTAATTTAAAGACATCTTGGTGACTGGGTTTCCGGAGGGAGGGGTGCTGTCAATTTCCAATTTTCTTGCATGCTTGGAGAACCCAAAAGCTGTTGGGCTGTCTGTACCTGTTCATTCTAACAGTGCGTGTTTACTGAGGGTCTCCTGTTTCTACCTGTTCATCCTAACAGTGTGTGTTCTCTGAGGGTCTCCTGTTTCTACCTGTTCA